ATGTGTAGCCAATTGTACACTCTCCTGTAGTAGTTCATTGAACCACAATACCGACAAGTGATTAATAAAAGTCAAAAAACCAAAAAGGTCACCTTAATACCAAAAAAAAAAAAGTAAATATGCATATTAATAAGATATGATAACCTTGTGAAATAATTAGGTTTTCAAGTCTCAAATGATAAATCTAGAGTTCAAATCCTATGAATAATGAAATTTAAAAAATAAGTTTGTATTATAGTAATTGTCTCTGTTGATCAGTTGAATTAGTGTATCTATAATCTTTAGTTGCACTATCTCGAATAGAAACTAGAATAATATATACAAAGTATAATATTACACTTATATAAAGGAATATATAACCAGTGTTATATAAAATTCAGTACAAATCCATAATAAACTACCAGATGCAAAAAATGAAAGAACTGAAGAGTCAGAAACCTATTTGAAAATCCTAAATAAGAAGATAGTATAAAACTTTCGACAATATTGTTAGACTGATAGAAGCTCATAAAACATCTTCAAAGAAATAAACAGATAAACTGAATAATAAGATATATAAAGAAACACATGACCAACCATGCTATTAAAATCATTAGAAGAAAAAAATACTAAGTTATATCATACTGGATTATATGAATTGAAAGTCTGAAAAGTCTTATTAATCCTAAATAGTGGTTAATAGGAGACAATAAAGAAGATGTTGGAAAGATAAGTAGTAGAGTTTTGGATAAACCTAACAAGGATATAGTAGTTTAATGATTAGTCTTAACTATAAGTAATAGTTTAAACTAAAGCAATATCGAGTAAGCTATAAGTATAGAATACAGAATGTACTAATAGGTTTAGTACAAAGTTAAATATAACTTAGTGACAATAATATATTTTTATCAGTTTACTAGAGCTATTAGTAGAATGTGATAGATACAGGATCAGAATATTTAAATAAAGATCTTACAGGTGAGTTTTAGATATAGTAACTAGTATAAAACCTTTGAACAGACTACTTAGATTAGACAATGACTAAAGTTATACAAGTAACTAGTTGTACACTCTTTCTATAATTGCCTCTATGCCATTATATTAACTGATGCTAGTCAACTAATACTATTAATAAAAATCCTAAATCATATGTACTTACCTTAATATTTAAAAAAAAAATATATATATATACTATCTAACTAGTTGATTCAGTATTTATAAGCATTTAATCTAACAAAAAGAATTAATCTCTAATAAATTCTTTGATCATATAAAAAATATCATCAACTATCATTTTTAACTGAACATGACTATGATCTTGTTAAAATCAATTAGAGATAGTTAATTCTTATAACAATATTGAAAATAATAATTTAGATAATAATAATAATAAAATTTTTGATAAATTAATAACTTTGATAATAAAAACCTTAAACTTTCTTGAAAAGCAAAAGACAGCTAACAATTCTTAATAGGTTAAAAATATAAAAAAGAATTTTATCCAAATTAATAAGATAATTGAGAATATAAAAAAAAAAAACTTTATCTTTAATTTGAAAAGAACACAATAATAATAACCAATTTTTAGAACAATTCTTGAGCATAAATAATATAATTTCTACATATAAAAAAAAATTTTTTTAATATATCTGATATATATAATAAAAATAATTTTTATGCAATTTATTTCTTTAAAAGCAAATTTTTTCAAATGCAATATTTCTTTTTATTATATAGGTTTGTTAAATGTGATTAAAAAACCAAAAAAAAATTATATTATTGTTATGATAAACTGCAAAAAATTTTGCTGAAAATAAAGATTTGATTAGGTATGCACAAAAATTTTGTTAGGAATAACTGAAAATTTCTAATTGGTAGATCTTTCATGTGATTGGGGAAGATCTGAAAAAAGATGCAGTCACGTGATAATTTTGTGATGTAAACAAATGTTCACTTTGTTAAAAATTGGTTATTTCTCAAAACGTAGCATAAGAAACCACCTATAGTGCGCTAACAAAAAGTTTTCCTTGATCGATTTTACTATAAACTCTAACATTAGCATTAGAGTTTAGGGCACAGGGGCATGGGGCATGCCTCAAGTCCAAAAGGCATATCTTCCCCAGTATCACCGTCAAAACTCTACCATCACGTAATGACGGAAAATTCTTTAAAGTTCATTTAGGTTAGGGTTAGCATTTCTAATAAGGCTGAGTACTAGTGGGTTTATAGTAAAATTGCTCAAGGAATTTTTTTTGTTAGAGCACAAAAGGTATTTTCTTATTCAAATTTTTGAGAAATGTGCAATTTTTGACAAAATAACGATCTTTTAACGTTTGTTTTGAATTTTCCTGATCGTGCTACGTTACACCAAATCATGGCACATTATTGGTCAATTTGCCGTCTTTAGTCACGTGATGGTAGAATTTTTATGGCATGCCCTTGTCATGTGATGTTTAAAGTTATTTTAATTGGCTAATAAGTTCAGGTAAACTAGAACCGTAGATACTAAATCAACATGTAAGATTTTGAAGAAGTTGTGAACTATGTGTTAATCACATGATTTAAAAAGGGCATGCCATGGGCATGAGGGGCATGCCTTAGCTCAGGGCACGCCCAATTTTTTTCCCATGCCCTGAACCCTAATTAGCATAGACCCTAACCCTAAACTAAACGAACTTTAAAGAATTTTCAGTCCTCACGTGACTGCAGCATTTTGGTGGTGATACTGGAGAAGATCGTTTTAGGTCAGAAATTCACGTGACTGTCTCTCGATTATTGGTTATTCTGGTGCTTTTGGTATTGCCATGTTCGGAAAACCGCGACTCGGTCGCTCCACAATCCAGGATCTCACGTAACCAACGATAGTAAACTTACGAAAGAGAAGCGTTAGATTAGGCTGAGGGATTAGGTTACATTGGGTCACAAGCATCCGGAAGGTTGGGGTCATGTGAGCAAGAGGTTAAACGAACAACAAATATATCAACATAGCAGTAATTTATGTAATATTAGGAGTAACTGCTTAATAAAACCTGGGACTTATTTTACTAGTGAAGCAAACGAGACCTTCTTTTCTCGGGGCAATTAGGCCCTTTATTTATAACGACTACTCTAATTTATTTATCTAAATTATTTTAATTATCAAATCCCTTTTTACTATTATATCCCCCTTCCCTGATATATTTAAGAAATCGATTTAGTGGATTTAATTGCCAGGATGTCCATATCAAGCAATTGATCTTCTTATCCGCGTCAAACATGGTAAGCCGCAGCTTATTCGAATCACGTTGTTGGACCTAACAGTATTAACAGCTTAATACGCTTTTATGTTTAACCATTATATAACTAATTAATTAATTAATTAACAATAAAATAGTTGCATAAATATTCTTTGCTATATGTGTATTTTGTAACGAAGCTAAACATTTATGGGATATTCATCTATTTCGTTAAACAATAATAACATCGAGTCTGGCATCGAATAAGAAAAAACTGATCAAAAAGCTATAATAATTTTTTCTTAACATCTAAAGCTTCGTTTACATTTTTTTAAAAAAGAATGATAATGTTTTAGAGACCCAATTTTTTTTAGAAAAAAATCATTTTATAAAGATTTTACATAATTTGTAAGCTAGAAAATTGCTTTTCAAAATTTGTAGTTAATCTACAATTAAATTAGTACGCACTCATAATTTGAATCCAAGAAAGTTCTGCGCAAGTCCAATCACTTATAAATCTATTTGTATGTACTGTATCTCTATATTATAAATTTTTGCAATCCCCAGCGCTTTTTTAGAATGTTATCTTTACAGATAAATATAAAGTTTAAACGCTTAAGCTACTATATTATCGACAATATCTTAAATATGATATGCTCAAAAAGATTTATAATATTATTGCCATTACTATATTGTTATCAAGAACTATCCAACATATGTAAGTACTTAAATTTATTTTTTGTTTTCTTTATTTACGAGAGTCGAATTTTTGAAGTTGTTTTTTTTTTGTAGAATTTATCTATTCTAACCTAAAAGAAAGACTATACAAAAAATACATCAAAAGATATACAAAGGACATCAATTTGCTATTATATATTAATTTCTCATCGATCCTGGAGTTTTTGGTTGCATGAAAGGAATAGGTTGCAGTGGTAGTGTCGAAGGCAAAGTGTCGGAAATCATCTGGTCATTGTCTGTCGAGCCTATCGTGATTTTATTTCCTACTATGTTATCATCGTTCGCGTATTCATTTCCTCCGATTTGTTTTATTTCCTTTCCATTTTTATCGTTTTGCTGATTTTCAAGATATCTATTTAAACTTTTAAAACTTTTAAAACTTTTAACACTATTCATTGTACTTTCACCGCCATTCTTGTCTAATTTGCGACTTCCCCCATAATTGTGACGACCATTTTTACCAATACTATAACTTCTAAGTATGTGATTCAATCTAAATTCTTCAAATTTTAGAACATCATCCCCTATTTTATATTTACTGAATGATGTTGTCCTTTTCAAGTTTCCAAAAGTGCTAGGTGGTGACTCAACAATTGTAATTTCCATCTCTGAATCTGTTTCAAGATCACCATTTTCACCATTATCCATTATTATTGTTACGTTGTTACTTGATGAGCTTTGCCTTGGATCACCAATAAAAGTGGCAATCGATGTTCGATGACGAAATATGAGTTTTGAACAGCCACACACGTTGAAACAACATGTGCAAAGAAATAAAGAACGTAGAGCTTCTTTTGTTGTACCAAAAATTAAGAAGAGACCAAATGTCAGGATTGTGTTGAAATAAGCATTTATATGTGGAGATAACATGGTCATCATGTGGCAAATAGGGGACGTTGCAATAAAACTTATGAGCTCGAATATATCGTCAAGAGGTTGGACTATTTTTTAACGAAAAAATATGCTTTAATGAACTGATGAATGAAATGTATTCATAAAACTTAGATTGATAATAACTTCAAACATACCAACTTTTATAAAAAACAAGATAATAAAAAGGACACAAAATAGGATCATTCGTATGCATAGCCTAAACGCATAGGATCATTACAAATGAAATTTGAGTAAATGTACGCAACGCAAAAATTCAAACCTACTTATATGATTAAGTACCCCATTGGAATTTTCAAGTTATTTGCTTTATGTTCTTTGGAGAATTTTGCCCGATAAGTAATCAATACCCATGACGCATGAACTAATAATGATATGATAGAGATTTAAGATAGTATCTAATATTTATAATACTGTATATGAACTTTGAAAATTTATATTATAACAACCTACCGCCTAAACCAAGACCTATAAACATGCACAGCAAGAAAGGAGCATGGTTTGTGGCAAGGTGAATAAGTCCACCTGTGACTACACAATGGTAGTAGGATGAAGTAACACCGAAGTTGGCTTGCGATTTTAGAAGCATGAATGTAGCGAATGTTAGGAATAAAGGAACACACCAGGAGAATATTATATGGATCTATATTATGTTAGGATGCACCGAGATATTACATTTTTATCAAATGGAATGTGAACGTACTCGATTTATTCTTAAAACTAAATTTATATTGTACGTACCTTGAACCATTTGACCTCAATATCGTTTGTAGCTTTAACCAACAACAACCACATATTAATCATCAAGCAAAGGATCCAAAATCCAATACTCAATTGTGTAGAATATAATAAGAATGCCTGAACGATGCAAATTGGTTCCAAATCAGTGGTGTCGGTGGCAAGAATTAGGGACATTTCCTGTGAAGTTCCGCTCCAAATCTCAGATGAAGTTTCATTCCAAAATTCAGTATCGGTATTATTGGTAGAATAAGTATCATTGGTAATAATCGGATCGTTTGTTGAGATATTTTGAGGTGTCGAAGTTGTTGAATCGGGGTCGATAAAATGATACTTCAAAGCAATAGGTACACTTATTATGCAATCAAATATCGTAGTTAAACTAAGGCAAGCCATAGTATAATGTTTCCCTTTATAAAGAAATTGAAGGCATAAAAAGAATAAAGGTATGACATTGAACAGTTGAAATATTATCCATATTTGAATTGCTGTTCTGTTTGCTGGAACCATCTTGACTTCTCTGAGGTCAGGTGACACCTTTTTATTATTTATATAAGTTTCGTTGGAATAATACTTTCTTACGTTGTTGGTCGTTATTTAAAATTATCATATTCAAAAAAAATACATTTTTGATTTTATCTCAAATAGTCGAAGTATGAAAACTATTATATATTTATGAGAAGTTAAAGTTCATCAGAGCCTTTAATAAAATTTATGCATGCAACTACAAAGTTAGAAAGAAAGTTGACGTAGTTGTCCAACAAGAATAAGGGAATAAAGAAAGGAGTGACAAAACTAGATCACCAACACGGTGCAAAAAAATATGAAAAGCACTTTGCAGCCTAATCGTCTATCAGTCAGTTTTGATAATTTGTCAAAATATAAATGACAAACAAAAATGCCTTTCTTAGTTTCATAATTGATAATTGGGTTTCAAACAGGTTGCTCTGTATAATTAATTTTCCTGAAGCCTAGTTGATAGTCTTTCGACAGATATTTTTTGAAACAAAAAAAACCCTTTATTAAACAAACACATTATCATATGCTTAAACGAGTTCTTAGAGTTCCGTCATAATACTTATAATAGTTGGCCTGTGCGTATTACGTTTCAAATAGATTCTATTCGAATCTTGGTTATGAACCAAAACAGGTTAATTTTTTCTATTCATGTTTGATTAAACAATCTGATTGGCGTTTCTATAACCAGGTAACAATCAATTAATCAACTGATTGGTAAATTCTTCTAACGCTAACCCCATTAAATTACTTAACTTGTAAATTTTTTCTAACCCTAACATTATTGAATTGCTTAATCAAGAAGTAACCAACCAATTTCAGAAAAATTTGACAAATAAAATTTTTATAGCGACAGTACTAAACAATTTATGTATATACTAAAAGGACATATCACAATAGATTTTCGCTAAACGGGTTTTTGAATTATAAACTATTGCAGTATTTATAAACCTGCTAAATCGATGTGAATAGACATTTCGTAAATACTACCAACCTTTATACTCGAAATTAACTGACTAGCTTAGCGCAAATGAAATGAAGAGAGATACCGTATTAATAGTATTAATAGGTTTGGATTGCCTATCTTAAGTACTTGATATATAAGTACACATTTATAAACCAAACTAACGTAAATAATAAATACTATGTAATAATATTATTAATAATATTAATGAATTTGAATAGTTTACTACGTAACAATTGTTAAACTCGCTAACTAAATTAAAGTATGTGAAATAAAATGTGAAATATTATATATTAGTAGTTATAAAAATAACAAATTTGAGCTTAGTATTCAGCGAATGTTCGAATAAATAACTATCTGATGAATAATGCGGATAGACAAATATTGTTCGAATAATTTTTACTATTTATCATATGAATCCAGTCATTGGCTGCTCTACATATAGTAACTATATAGGTGACGCCAAGGGAAAATCAGACTTCGATTCAAGCCTGGTTTTCTCTGGGTATCATCCATATATTAGTTGCTTTACATCCAAGAACTGCTATCGAATAAATAGTATTTATTCGAAATAATATTGGTCATTTGGAAAATATTTGAGATAAGCATTTGCTAATCTAAATTACTCGAATAAAGAGACCAGTTAGCTTTAATTTAAAATTCATATTTTTGCTCTAAATTTTTTTTAAAAAATAACTTCAAATAACCTTTTTTTAAAAAATTTTGTGTTAGATCTTTATTTTTGATTTTTTTTTGACTTTATATAATTGTAACATCAAAATATTTAAATTTAACTAAGCAATTACACTATATCACAAACTAACCTTTTAAAAAAATAAATATATTATTTTAAAAATGGTATTTGACACAACCCGAATACCTGGTAAAAAAAAAAACTAAAATAAAATTAGCCCGATGCAATCGTGCTTAAGCCAGGAACGTAGTATAATCACTAGAATTTAAATTTGGTTTTCGGACGTCCTAAAAATTTTTTGAGCTTACGTTAGAATGCATCAAAATTTTAAAATATATTCTAAAATTTAGGAATAAATGCACTATTAACTAAAATTCAAATTTTTTTTGATTTTTCGACATAATTAATATTAAGCGACAATTTTCGGAGTAGCTGTCCAAAAATTCCCAAAGTCCTTATCAAATTATCTTATTTATGTAATCTATTTCAAAGTATCAACATTGTTTATCTTTTTAATATAATATACGTATGAGCGAAATCATATGATTAAATATGAAATACGCATTACCTGGATAGGGGTAAACAATATAAGTGTCTTTCACATAAAGTACCGAATATAAATGTTAGGATCTTTTGTAATATAGGGTGACTCCTTTAATAAAATATTAATTGATTATAAAGTTGAGTCACCTATATAATAAAATAACTATAACATGCCATTTAGGTCGACCCGTTCGAAGCACTAAATGTAGATAATGAATTTTGAATATAAGACAACAGGGTAACATAGTGAAATCCGCTATGATCATCACATTAGGATGAAACCAGCTTTTATATGAGATATTTGCTAAGAAAATCACCCTTCGACATTTTCGGACAGACTTAATCAACATACCGGCACTTCTTGCATGTTAACATTAATTCAAAATTTTATAATTTTATCGATAAGCGATTGAATCAATAAGATTTACATGCAAATGAGAACCAATATATTGGCCTAAATTTGTCCGAATTAGCCCGATCGGAAAATGTTGGTGATATTCCTAGCAAAGATTCATGTAATAAAACACGGATTTTACCCAGCGTTAGATATTTAATGTTCTTAGTGTTCTCAAGAACATTAAAATATTTTTTAGAACACAATATTTAAAGATTATGTTCTCATTTGAGAAGATAATGTTTGTAATTGTATTATAAAAATAATTCAAAAACTTTCGAGAACATTAAAACTCTTTGAGAACCTAAAATTTGAATTTTATGTTCTCAGAAAACAAAAATTTTTCAGATATCTAACGCTAATTTTGCCTTAACCCGATCTACAAAGCGGATTTCACTATTTCACAACTCATGTTCTAAAATAATTACATATGAAACTGGTGAATTGGTGGATTTCTATATAGGCATGCAATTGATCTTGTTAAAAGCCTACAATATTCTTACAATAAAAGGAATACCATATTACTTCGAAACAAACCCAGGGAGTAAGTTAAAAAATTTGGTTGAATTAAGCTTAATTTAGGCCCAATTAAACCTAATTCTGGTCAAATTTTTAACCTACACCCTGCATTACTATGATTATTATAGGAAATGTTTGATGTAACTTTTAATTTCATAGATATAAAATTTATTATTAGTTGGCCAATTTTTTTTTCTTACCCTGATCCAATTCAAGATATTTAAATTATTACATTTAATTATCTGATCAATATTATTATTATTATAATTATAAAATATGCAATATGTAAGTTAAAGTTCTATTTATATAATAGTATAAGTTATAAGTATTGTTATTATAATTATAAAATATATTTATCTTTTTAATATACAATATAGCATATTGACTAAATAAGAAAAAATATGTAATTTAAAGTTTTATTTATATAATAGTAAGAGTTATAAAATTTTTTTTTATCTTTGACAGCCATGATGGTCATTGGTCAAAAGTTTATTTATAACAGTTTAGTATTGTAAAGTCAGTATCAGGGTTGGGATAAACTTTACAAGAGCATAATAGTTTAATAGTACATCCTGACCATCAGTGTTGGTCTTGGTCATAGCAATACCAGGTCAGCTGTAAGAATAGGATACAGAAGATTCTGAAAGATTTAGTACAAAGTCAAAGGTTCTTTATATAAGTAAACTGCTTTAAAGACTTAATAGTTATAGTATATTTTTACCAACGTCAGTTAGGATTGTTGGTAAGCAGAGGTAGGTAGGTGGATATAGAAACTAAATAGTTAAATAAGGAACCTACAAGCAGGTTCCAGGTATGGCAGCTAGTATAGAACCTTTAGATGGACTACTTAAATTAAACAATAACTAAAGTTGTATGAGTAGTTATTTATACACTCTTTCTATAGTTGCTCTCTATGGTTGTAATACAACTATTAGTCAAATATACTATTAATAAAATCCTAGATCACAAGTACTCACCTTAATATTTAAAAAAAAATAAATAAAATTGTTTCTAACAAAATATTATATATAAGTAACCTAGGTTTATATTCTTATAGGCATTTATTACTAGGATATAATTAAACTTTGTAATTTTCTTCTTTCTGCAAAAACTTAAAAGTTTATTAAATAAATTATAGTTGTTATATAAAAAAAACTAGTTCAACTCATTTCAGTTATCATTTTGATATATCATATACTATAAACAGTTCAATATTGACAATTATATAGTAAAATTACTTTAAAACTCTCTTAGAAACTATATTCTATTTTTGTAAAAAAATTTTTTTATTTTTTTGGAGGAATTCTGGTCCTCTAGGTCTGCAAATCTAAATTACTAATTAATATTATTAATCTATTTATATAAATCTAAGTTTGTTTTATCTATTTTTAAAATAGAGTATACATAGATCATTTTTTATATGATCTTTGTAGTATAATATAATTTTTATAAAAAATAAAGCTTTGGTACTAATAAAACTTTTTATTATCACAATTAATTTTTATCAAATTTTTATATAATATAGAATAAGATATATTCTTTATAATAATAAAATTTTTAATAAATAAAATATTTTTAAAAAATATATTTATATATATTGTAAAGTTCTTCATAGTGGCTTCAAATTTTCTGTAGTTATACAAAATTGTTGATCATAATTGGTCCAAATTATATGATCTTTATATGATTTATATAAACAATTTATAATATCTAATTTTTAAATATATGTATCTTGGAGATTTTATCAAAAACTTTTTCTGCAAATCCTTTATACAAATCTTAACTAAAAATTTGTTTATACAAAAATGTTTATAACTATTTATTTTATTAAGTTAACTTACTTTTGGCTCTTAAGTAAACTTGTTCAGTACTAAATTTTA